TAATGCGAAAGCAAATATCACAAAAACACGACTTGGCCCGAAGCACTTCCAGAACCGTCCGCTCGTTTGAAAAAAACACGCAAAACCACACATACCCGCACCGAACCTATCTTTCTTTCTTTCTTTCTGTTTTTTTTTCTTCTTATCTCCGTTTCTTGTCTATAACCGATATAAAAAAACAAATCATGAACCTGTCGTCGTATCTACTTTGCTTTTTTCTCTTTTTATAGGGTGCTGGCTCACGGTGTTTGTTAGAGAGCGACCTTGTTTTTTTGATGGCCGCCTATGACGTCGTCGACGAGGCCGTTCCACAGACCCGTCAGCATGTTGGGCTGCTCCTCGGCGGCGGCGGCCTCCTCGTGCACGAACTTGAGCTCGACGCCGTCGACGCCCATGCCCTCGACCTCGGTCAGCGCCGCGGGCGACACGAGCTCCGGGTTCGCGGCCACGATGCTGATCTGCGCGGGGGCGACGGGGCCGTCGCTGGTCTCGGGCGCGTGGTGCGCTACGGAGTTGTCCGGGAGCAGGGGCACGCGCAGGTGCGCGAATGGGTCCGAGGAGGCTCCTTCGAGGGCGGCGGAGCCGGGGAAGATCATGTTGTCCATGGTCTTGGCGGTGGCCTGGGCGGCGGCGGCTTGGGGTGCGCTCGAGGTGAAGGTCTGCATGAGGCGCATGGTGCGGGGAGGGGGGTGTGGGCGGTTTGATGTGCGAGTGTAGAGGTGACGGGGATGCTAATGATGGGTTGTTAGTCCAACTGCTGATAGATGCTGCTAATACATGCTTCCGAGCTCTCTCCGATAACGGATTCGAGGAATTGGTTGGGCTAAACTTACATCCGGGTCTATATTCCTCTCCTTGAGAAGCTCTGCATATTTCCTGGAGATGGGAGCGGAGGTCTTGGAGCTCGTGAGCAGGGTATTAGACTTGGGGACAGAAGCCGCCGTTGTGGTGCTGATGGAGCGGACAAGCTTTGCAGCTGGGCCTGTAAGACGGGGACCGGCCATGTTTGCTTGGTGGACTTTTCTGCTTCGGACAGATAGAGATAGAGCTAGAGGTTCGTGATACAATTGCTCGTGGCAGAAGCTACGTTTGAGAGGACACAGACGATAGACCAATTGATGGAAGGTTCAACGGGTCGATAGAAGTAGAAAGGAGAACAAAGAGACGGAATAATGAGGGGGTGATGGGGTGGCACGAGGTAGGTAGATAAGCCACTATGTAGGTAATGTAGGTATGTAAAGGTCGTGGTACTGTAGGTAAAGGGTCGGGAGATGTATAAGTACCGTATTGTTGAGAGGAGGATGGGACGACGGAGGTCCGGGGGTGAGATGAGCTTACTAGGGACGACCTGCTGTTGTACTTAACTATAATAGGTACAACACCACTTGTACACCAACCTACATACATGTAGATACTGCATACACTACATGTAGGTATATGTATGTATATGCAAGACCTGAGGGGATGGGTTGATCGTCTGTTCACCTAGGGTTTGATTCGTTCGGTACAACACGAATTCTTGGGACTCAGACGAGCAAAGTAGGACATAAAGAGCCAAGAGCGGCAGATCAACCTTGGTTTGTTTCTTCTATTTGGAAGCTTGCGCACTTTTCCATAGTAATGTGTCAAATTCGATGAGCTGGCGGCCTCTCATCGTATGTATTTACTGTACTCACTGTATTCAAGCTTGGGTGTGTACTTGTACATACCTGTATGGCCAATGTTCTTCTATGCTAATCAACATTGAAACTAATATGCCTGGGTAGATAGATTGATTGTTTTGCCAAGGTGTATAGTGCCGATACTAGATTGTTACAATATGGGAATATGGGGTATCTTGAGAGCTGCCAAGATAGAACCGCCTCGTCGAGTGCGTACAGTACATAGTTGATGCTACACGTTAAGCCTCAGAATTGTGTAGAAATGTAGATACGATGCCGTAGATAATGCAAGCAAGCAGGCAAGTCTAGACGGGAGGGAGCATACTGACTAGGTAGCATACCTGGTCACAGTAACTAACAGGTAATTACCTAAGTAGGTAATAGACGGTAGGTTAAGAAGCACGCACCCCAACTTACAGTAGGTTACCTACATGAGTTAGCAAGCTTTAATAATCTTTGAGCCCTGGAGCTCTAGAAAGGTCCACCTCCAAAGCCAATGGTCAATGGATACCTACCACTGGCTACCAGCATGCAAAACGACAAGACGGAATATTGCGAGAAGCCAATAAGAAGTCGGGAACAGATGTCTCACCGACAAATCCCCTTGCTGTCTCATCCGTTGAGAAGCGGAGATCCGTTGCAAATAAGAATCCAGATCAACCCCCTCTCCGATAAGCTACGAGGTTCAGTACCCTGACAGGACCGTCTGACAGCCCTGAGTACCGAGCCAGCTGCGAGCCAAATTACCCCGGACAGAGATCCGTACCATCCCCGATAAACCGTCTAACCGTTAGCCCATAACCAGTTTAGCTAGTCGGCCAACAAAAACTCCAAGCCTTCCAAGGTTTCTAGGAACGAATCATCCTTTTCCTATTTCTAGGATTTTGTATTACATACCACATGGGGCTATTTATGGCTTTATGTACTAACACTACATTTTATGTACATCTTTTGCCAGACTTGGCTTGGCTTTTGGTTCTCGAAGCATCGTAACGAACACTAACTTAACGGAAGAAGAAGCGTAAGAAGCCTAAAGAAGAAGAAGAGAGACAAAGATGAATCAAAGTCGATGAACATATGTAGAATCTAGATAATAGATGCCAAGTGCTTGGAACGTTAGGTTAGATTAAACTTCTATTACAGATGTAAATAATGCCGCAATTTATAGTAAGACATTCTTTATTAAAACCAAGACTCCCATCGGACTTTCTTTTCAACATATCTCTTTCGCTTTTCCTCATTCTCTCCTCTCATCTGCAGCATCGTCGTCCAATGAGGGGGTTGTTTGTCATCAGGAACGCCATCCCTCGGTGATAAGTCTTTGCAATCCTGCGTATTCCGATCTGACTCTGGACTGAGCCCGACTGACTGCCTAGAATCCTTTCCTCTCCCGGTTGCGCGGCATGGAGGGCCTAGATTGAGGAGATGGAACTCGGATACTACATACAAGCAAACATACATAACTCTCCAACTCCCTTTAACCATTATCATTACCATTATGAACCATAATGTCCACGTGTGCTCTCGTGCGTCTCTGAGTCGATTACCTAAAGCTTGATCTCAGTCACACTAGCCATAATCCACGTTACATCGGTCCCATCTTGTCACAGCGGTAGCCGAGTTCATTGCATGAGCGGGGTTTCTGTCGCTAGATACGAGCTATCTATGCTTTGACTAGCTCACGATAGTAGGTCAATGATAATCATACTATATGAGATGATCGAACGCACGACGAAGTTATCGCCAACTCGGATTTAATCCTCATATTCATCGGCTTACCCGACATCTAAGCTTGGCTGCCCACCTACTTACCTAAGGACATTGATAGAAATTTGCAGCCTCTCCAACGTCTTACGTAAATCATCCATTATCATCGTCCAAACCGTTTGTTTCGTTTCCCGGTAGCGCGTGAAGTTGGAATTGTCCTGAATGCGGCTCAGGACTCACCTTACGTGGTGTGTATGATTTTCTGCAAATGCTGCACCCTCGCATCACCAACACATTCATTCGCATTAGTAAACATGCAGCTTCGCCAAAATAAGAACCCGGAGAAAAGCAGAGATATTCCATGACAACATCAAACTCTTATCCAGAAGCTTCCATTGTTCAGACGACCCGGCACCGGAACCCCTGAGTAGGCATCTACATAGGTACCTAACCTAGTGCATTGAGAGGTGCGTTCGTCAGGTTCGTCCCCGTAAGCATAAACGGAGCCGATAATGCCAGCCTGAGGTCGGGAAACAGCAGGTACCTTATGCAAGTAGCATATACATCCCCGTGGATTTGGGTATAAGAGACTGAGATGGACACAAGCCTGACGTGAGCATCCTTGAGGGAGAAACAATTGTCCCTGAGCCGCTTCTAATGGGAGGGTATATCCTAAACTCCTCTACCTATTGGGTGAGATGATGGTAAATCTGAACATGAAAAAATAGAGCGTTTTGCCGATAAAATGTCATGTCTCGATGAGAGTGATTTTGTATAGCGCAGCGTTCCTCGAGATCTAAGTCCCTGGTAGGTGTGTAGGAATAATTACGTTCATTGAAGAATGAATCCATGCATCCCAACGATATGAATTGAGTGAAATCATTACAAGACTGAGAATAATTCCTCAGAGTTAGAATAATTTCTCCCAAAAGGATTCTCGCGAATAGGGGGTTCCCGCGATTACGTATGGTATAGTCTTGAGGCCGTCTCAAGCGTTCATACAAACCCCCTACCTACCTAGCCAGGTACGTACGCAGTGAGCGAGTCGGCATATAATACATAAGGACTACATATTTGGCTCCTTATATAGCCTTTACCCCTATCTCACGATCATCAAGTACACCCCCCTCGCCCCTTTTTTCCCACCACTCTATATATGAGATGCCTACTTGGCTCTAACCACGTGGTTCGCACCGAAGTAGGGTACCTATAAGCCAACAACCATTCACAGGTAACCAATATATAATAAAAAAAATAGAATAAAAGAGTAAGATGATGCGAGTGAGCATCCAAAGAATCACCTCACCTCACAAAGGAGTTGAGTAGGTAAGTACTTAAGTAGATACATAAAAACACGATGAACTCTAGCTTCTCTACCTAGCATAGGTCCCCAATAGAAGTAAACCACAAAACCGCTTTCTATCGCTATGCCCAAGCCTCTTCGTCGTAACTCGTAATGCTTAATATCATATCACGCGCGCTACCTGTCTCAACTACCTATGTAACTCTGCCTACCTATCTCTCTGTCGAAGCTTAGATAGTTACGCGCCAAAGCGCCTCAATCTGCCATCCGCGGTGATTCCAATACATACCAGGCCGGTAGGTATGTACCTAGGTAGTTGTCATTAATATCGTAACATTTCCCATCCATCATCCCTCCCTCCCTCCAAGCAAGCAAACCATCCTCTCCCCCTCTATCCCCGCCCCCAACTAAACGTCCCCCCCCTCTTCTTCTCCCCCCCTTCCTCCCCTTCCCTATCCCCATCCCCCCCTCCTCTCCCCCCCTTCCTCCCCTTCCCTATCCCCATCCTCCTCCCAACCCCTAACCCCTTCTCCTTCACCATATTAAACGTATCCACAATCCCCTTCGCCCAGTGCTTATCCACCAGCATATACACAAGCCAACTAATCGGCACCGCGACGCAAAAGTAGATCCAGATCGTCTGCCCCATGGCCGCGACGTCCGTCGACATGCTGAAGAAGCTCGACACGCAGCTCAGCGGCGCGAATATGACCGCGAGGTACGTCAGCCGTCCCAGCGTCGTGTTCTGCTCGATCGCGCGACGGCTCTCCTCGATCGCCGTGACCGCCGTCGCGACCGCCGCGATGCGCTCCGTCCGCGAAAGCAGGTCGTCGATGTGGCTCGCGACGACGGCGAAGTCGCGCGCCATCTGGGCGACGCAGTCGCGGCGGCTGGACACCGCCGTCGCCGACGCGAAGCCCGGGTCGGGCTCGGGGAACAGCTTGGCGCGGGTGTCGGCGACCATGGCGCGGTAGAGGGGCAGGCGCCGCCGCCAGGTGTGGAGCTTCTGCAGGGATATGTTGAAGTTGACGTACTCGTCGCGGCGGGGCGCCGCGCCCCTCTCGACGCGGAACAGCTCGGGCCGCTCGATCTCCCACTCGATCTGCCCCAGGCGCGCGGTGACGTAGCGGCTCAAGGTGAGCCACTCGGCGCAGATGATCTGCAGGATCCGGAAGGTCATGGCCCGCGGGTTGTCCTCGATCGCGTCGATGTCGTGCTGCGACGTGTGCTGGATCCAGAAGAGCAGCTCGTCGTAGAGGCTGCTGCGCGGCGGCACGTCGTATGTCTTGTGCTCCGAGGGGGCGGGCGAGTTCATGAAGGGCCGGTAGCCTTTCCAGAGGGAGAAGCCTTCCGTGATGGGCGGGTCGATGAGCAGGACCCCTTTAGATCAGGCGTGAGTTATACGTGCATTATGGCATACCTAATTAAGTAGGTATATGGAATTAGGGATATAGGAAGATAGGTAGCTTACCGATGGCCTGTTCGCTGGCCGGCTTGATCCAAAACGACGCCTTGCTTCTAACAAGGGCGACGATCGCGCTTTTCTCGTCGAACAACGACACGTGATCGAGATCGACGTCGAGCCTCCTCAGTACATTGAACATCCCAGCCTGCTTGTTCGCGCTGCGGAAGCTCTCCTCGTTTTTGAAGTACCGCGGTTGATTATACGTCAGGCGGAAGTAGGGCCGTGTCCGCGACACGATATCGAGGTCCGGGAGCTCGACCCACGGATCGCGCGTATTGTACCACGTGTAGTCGTTGATGTGCTCTCGGAAGAAGAGAGGGTCTATGTCGAGCTTAGAGCCCAGATGCTCGACGACATCTCGCGAAAGGTCCTCCACCACGTACAGCCGGCTAGCGCCCGGGACCGCCGGTTGATCCAGGCAGTCCGCTAAGCCGTCCGGGCTGTTGATATGTTGTATAGTCGGAACCGACTGGCCTTTTACAAAATCGATAGCCGCGATCTTGGTCCGCCGGGCTCTCTCATTCCGAATGCCCTCCCGCTTTCCAGATGGTAATCCCCTAATAAGCTGCCATTTGGTAGGCGACGTGGTTACCTCCATC